AAAACAACAGCAGCTTTCAGCCTGTCACCATGATGCAAACATGAAATATCAGACATACAGTAGTAGTTCTTCACAGGTTTTTTATTCGACTGCGCTGCTTTTCCATTGTTTTTCTATGTAATCATGGACGCGTTTGACTGTTGCGCTCGCGTCTCTTGCAGCGTCTCATGAAACAGCTTTCTAAAAACACGCTGCTGAAGTTAAAAGAAGTTCACTCCCATCTTCTTGCATGTTTTACCTCTTCCACTGCCCGCGTCGCATCTTTATCAACACAAAGGCTCATTCTGTGTGAATAGCGGCTAGCGATGTGCGCGTCACACGTGAGCGGTTAATCACGTGTGCCGACATGCGGTTGGATCGTTCTTTTCTCTTTACTGTTATCACCGGCATATTGTCAAAGTGTCTAATTCTAACGCTTGGTAATATTTCTATTCAAAATCGCGATTCCTCTATTTCTAAAAAGTAAAACGGTGGCAAAACAATAAATTCGAATTAATCGATAAAATCTGAAAAATCGCCCAGCCCTAGCTGCAGGTGTCGTTTTTCTCAAACACACCAAATACGATTTGTTTTTGCAGGGACATCCATCAGCTTCTCGTCTCTCCTTTCCTGGGCCCTCCTTTATCAAGAGTGCGTAGAAAAGTTTCTATATTTTGTCCTACGAATGTGTGCCAGTACAAAAAAGTCTGTATTTATCGTGCACTAATTGTGCAAATGCTTAGCTTGAAATATGAAATCATTAATTGAGTATTTGCAGTTAAAGGATGCAGGACATATGCGGCGGCACTTTCTTTTCTACCACTAGATTCTCTGCGTAAGCATGCTCAGAGTTGTGCTTATATTTACACACATTCCTATGTATAAGTACAAGTTGGTAGATCCCACACTTTGCGTGAAACTGTTTCTACGCACACATCTGTGCGTACACACTGTTGATAAATGAGGGCCCTGGTGTTTATGTAACCCTGATCTGTGGGTCTGGTGCACTTCACATGACCAGCAGTGAAAAAAAAGAGCTGCTATGGTGATGTGTGTGTCTCCATGGCGATGGGAAAACTGTGTCCCGGGAGCCTCCTGTAAATACTTGGTGGGTTCGGTCATGGCTGGTTTCCTTTTTGAATTGGGCTCGGTGTTTGGACCGGTTCAGATCTCTTAGATCAGACTCAGATTCCGATTAGTCTAATCCGACTCTAAACAAACGCTGTTAAACAATCAGTTTCAAATCGGTGTCATATCAGACTCCAGATTGGATTTTAAATCAGGGATGACACTACAAATAAGTCAAACCAAGATCTTGAATCAGTTTCAAATCAGTATTAGATCAGTCAAAAATCAGACTCAGTCATGGATCAGTTTATCACATTGGTTCAGATTCTGAACAGTAAATCACTCTCTGTCTGCTATCAAAATCAAATCAGAGTCAAATCAGCTTTGCATCAGACTCGTTAGGTCTTAGATTGGTTGCAAATCAGACTCATGTCTCTTTGGTCATGTCAGATCAGATTCAAATCAGACTCATGTCTCTTTGGTCATGTCAGATCAGATTCAAATCAGACTCATGTCTCTTTGGTCATGTCAGATCAGATTCAAATCAGACTCATGTCTCTTTGGTCATGTCAGATCAGATTCAAATCATACTCAGTTTTGGATCAGCTGTAAACCAGGCTTCAGTTTGTCTAAACACCCAGATCAGTTTGAGATTAAACCAGTCAGTTTCAGATTAGTGTCAAATCAGATTTGGATAAGTTTGAGATCAGACGTTGGTTTCAGATCTGTCTTGAATCGGACTCGACCTCAGGTGAGACTCAAATCAGAGTTAATTTGCATCAGACTCATTAAGGTCTTGGATCGTCACAAATCATACTCCGTTTTGGTTTAGTTCCAAATCAAGCGCAGATTACTCTAAAAATACTCTGATCAATTTGAAATCAGACCCCGATCAAACCTTGATTAGATTCAGATCTATCTGATTAATTTCAGATCTATCTTTAATCAGATTCAACCTCCGATGGGACTCAAATCAGAGTCAAATCGATTTTGCGTCAGACTCATTAAAGTCTTGGAAAAGTCGGAAATCAGACTCCGTTTTGGATCGGTTGCAAAACAGACTCCACTTAGACTAAAAACAGACCAGTCTGGTGTCAAACTCTGATCAGTTTTAGATTAGTGTCATGTCAGATTTAGATCTCGGATATATTTTAAATCGGACATATTTTAAATCAGATTGGATCAGATTCTAAACAGCGTGAATCACTCTCAGTCTGCTGTCAAAATCATATCAGAGTCAAATCAGCTTTGCATCAGACTCGTTAGGTCTTAGATCGGTTGCGAATCAGACTCATGTCTCTTTGGTCAAAGTCATATCAGATTCAAATCAGACTCAGTGTTGGATCAGCTGCAAATCAGGCTTCAGTTTGTCTAAACCAATCAGTTTCAGATTAGTATCAAATCAGACCTAGATCAGTGTGAGATCAGACTCTGATCCGACTGGTTTCAGATCTATCTTAAATCAGACTCAGTGTTGGATCAGCTGCAAATCAGGCTTCAGTTTGTCTAAACCAATCAGTTTCAGATTAGTATCAAATCAGACTTAGATCAGTGTGAGATCAGACTCTGATCCGACTGGTTTCAGATCTATCTTAAATCAGACTCAACCTCAGGTGGGACTCAAATCAGTTTTGCTATCAGTCTTAAATCGGACTCCGTTTTAGCTAAGTTGATCAGTTTGGTATCAGTCCAGATCAAATTTGGTTTGAATTTGTCTTGAATCAGACTTGAGTCAAATCAGTTTCTCATCAGACTCATTAAGGTCTTGGATTGGTTGCAAATCGGTGCATTTTACATCCGTTACAAATCAGACTCCAGTTAGTCTAAAATACTCAGATCAGTCTGGTATCATACTCTGATCAGTTTCAGATCAATGTCAAATCATAGATTCAATTCAGATCAGACTTGTTTTTAGACTGTCTTGAATCAAACTCTGACGCAGGTCACACTTCGTCAAATCAAATTCTCAGATCACACTCAATCTAAGATCAGTTCCAAATCAGACTCTAAACACTCAGATTAGTCTGGTATCACACTCTGATCAGTTTCAGATCAGTCAACTCAGACTCAGAACAGTGTGAGATCAGACTCTGATCAGACTTAAATTGTTTTCAGATATGCTTGAATCAGACTCAACCCCATATGGGACTCAAATCAGAGTCAAACCAGTTTCGCATCAGACTCATTAAGGTCTTGGATTGGTTCCAGATCAGACTCCGATCTCTTCAGTCAAAGTAGGAATGTAACGGTATGAAAATATCTTATCACGATTATAGTGACCAAAATGATCACGGTTATCAATATTATCACGGTATTGTTAAAATGTGCTGGAAATGTTCAAAAAGCACTGACACATAAATCACTTCAAGTTTTATATTTAAAACCAACAAGCAACAAATAAAATGACTTTTTGTTTGCATAATCACTAAAACAATAACATTACCAATGATGTCCATATTTTAAATCTAATAGCTATAAAAAAATAATATAATTTTTATCTAATAGCATGTTCAAATGTTCAAAAAAACTTTGAAAAAGTTTCATAAAAAGGTAAACCTCACATTTCAGCCTTTAAATAAAGAAAAGGGTTAAGTCAAAATGATAATTGATTAATAAATGTTTATATGTATTTTATCTGCTCCATAAATAATTCTAGATAACTTATCTGAATTGTTTAAATGTGTAGAATCCACATAAGCTTGTTATTCATCAACCGGTCATAAATCACAGCAGGGCATGCAAATCCGGTCTGTTTTTAGTCCAGACAGAAACTGCACACAGACTGAATGTGAATGTGTGTCTCTGTAAATCCACTCTCTGACAGCAGGTGGCGCTTCTGGAGCAGCAGAATTACAGCTGTTTCTCGTAACCTCCTGCACAAAGCAGCATTGTGATTAAAACACTACTTTATTAGGTATTACATGGAGCGAAAATGAAAACAAAATGCCATCGAATCTTTTCTGAAGTCAGTCAGAGCCTTCAGAGGTACATTCATATAATTAATTAATTCATATATTAATTTATATAATAATTCTCTTAGCACTCTTTTAAAACCTCGCAGCTTTTCCATCGTGTTTTCACACAAAACGAAACTACTCTGCTGCTGTGTGCACCTGAGACCGTTATTTAAACTCTGCTTTATGCTGGATAGTATTTATTTATCCTCAGTTGTTCAAATCACGGTAATCGAATATGGTTATAATAATTAAAATATGAAACCGTAATACTAACCGTGGGGAATTTTATCATGATTTATCGTCAAACAACCTCAATAAATCGTTACATCCCTAAGTCAAAGTCAGATCAGCCTCAAATCAGACTCAGATCAGTGTGAGGTCAGACTCAAATTGGTTTCAGATCTGTCTTCAATGACTCAACTCCATATGGGACTGAAATCAGAGTCAAACCAGTTTCGCATCAGACTCATTAAGGTCTTGGATTGGTTGCAAATCAAGACTCAGATCTCTTCAAAGTCAGATCAGCCTCAAATCAGACTCGGATCTCTTCAAATCAGATCAGCCTCAAATCAGACTCAGATCTCTTCAAAGTCAGATCAGACTCAAATCAGACTCCGATCTCTTCAAATCAGATCAGCCTCAAATCAGACTCAGATCTCTTCAAAGTCAGATCAGCCTCAAATCA